TTAATTTCAATAACTGTGTGGAGTAAAAACAGTGTTCAATATACAAAACTCCAATTATAGCTACATGAGAAAATAAAAAAATGTACCTCTAATGATAAGATTAAAAATGAGAGATACCAATGAATGAAGACAAAATACTGCTTTATGCATGTAAGATCTATAAAAAGACAATGAACAACAACCAACAACATAGAACATTAAACAACCCATCCTCCCTAACCCCCCAACAAATTAACAGTAACTTTGTTTACCCCCCCAACTTTTCCAAAACATAAACTCAAACACATCCCCAACCTCCTACAGAGGTTGTCACCTGGAGACAGAAACTCAAACTGGGAGGCTTAGTTAGAAAGACCTCTCACTCCTAGGTGTTCCAAATAACTAGGGGAAATGTAGAACTAAGACCCCCCCCCTTCCTTCGATATATCTTAAAGGTTTCTTAACGTGGAATGCAAAAACTTTTATAACAATATGTGTTTCTTTCAACCGTCTAAATGTTGTGAATAAACAAATACATCATGTTAATAAACAAATTAAGTTCTGTTTTGTGGAGAAATATTAGTTAATGAAGCAATTAAGTGCGACGTTTAGGGTTGATCCTCTTCCAGCGCTTCAGAACCGGGTCGCAGATCAAGTGGAAGCTCAAGATCCAGAGCTTGTAGTAAAGTAGTTCCACTTGTTAAGTCTGTGGCGGTAAATGCTTTGCCATCATTTAAAAGCAGCAGTCTGCCTGGAGGAGACCATCGATAAGCGATTTTTGCTTCTTGCAAGCATTTTGTAATTGATTTCATGTCTCTGCATCGTTGCAGGGTTTCAGGGGATAAATCTTGGAACACTTGAATTGTTTTGTCTTCATAGGTGAATTTTTTACTAGCTTCCTTGAGAATTTTATTTCTCGTGCGAGAGTCTGGAAAGCGAGCTGCAATATCTCTTGCCAAAGTAGGATTATTATTTTTACGTGGGCCCGTTCTGTAAGCACGGTCTACAATCGGCGCAATTCCCACCTCTAGCTTTAAAATGGTGGATAGCCAAGTAGCAATAAAGGTAGTGAGCTCCGTAGTCCCTTCACAAGACTCTAAAAACCCACGGAATTTTAAGTTATGAAATCATGATGCATTTTCAAGTTCCATAATTTTGGATCTTACCCAGGTTTCTCTAGAGTACAGATCTTGCTCTTCATTTTGCAAAGTTATGCATTGTTCTAGAGCTGTATCGGCAGTCTGAGATATTTTTTGCACATTTTCGGTAAGGTCCTGTAATTGCTCTGACATAGGTTTAAGTAAGCTTTCTACTTTTAAGGCAAATCTGTCTTCTAGATTTTCAAAAACCATAAGTACCTCTGGGGAAAGTTGTAAATCATCATCCTCCATGTTCGGTGCAATGGCGGCCACCATTTTAGCTGAGAGTCATTGTTCTGGAGCCCCGGAGATATCTTTTGCATCCCTCGGGAAAAATGCCTTCACCGAGTTTGATACTTGGCCAGGAGTTTTATTTTTACCCGAGCCAGTCTTTCCCATCTTTTTAGATGGTAGTCTGTCTATTTTCAACTATTTTAAATGTATTTTAGAAGGATCAGGGCAGGAGCCGAAGTTCTAGGCATCCATACGCTTTCAGCATGACACCACGCCCCCCCTGAAGGAAGAGCTTGATCATTTTGATGGCAGTGGTCAATCTCCCTCAAGTCACCTTGGACCTTTCCCATTGTCTTCCTTCAGGGCATAAAGGTTTGAGGGTTCACTTAAAGGTTGAGGGGTCTCTTGTGGGCATTTCTGTTGGTTGGCAGTGCTGGCAGCTAGCCATATCACTAAAAGAGATTTCAGCATCAGCTCCCTGGCTGTTTTGATGACAATGCCCAGCTCTATATATCTTTAATGAAATTGAGCAAACTTCAGAGGACGGCGGAAGACAGGAAGGCCTGGCGTGATCTGGTCCATGGGGTCGCAAAGAGTCGGACTCGACTGTGCGACTGAACAACAACAAATATATCTTTATCAAAATATTCTGATGATGTGGTAGAGGTTCTGAATCACTGCCTGGCTGCTGTGATTAAATGTCCAACAGTGAACAAAATGAAACTGAACCCTGGAAAGACAGAAGGGGGGAGTTGGATCCCAGAGCTAAATAGGGAATCCTTGTGAAATATGCTTATGGTGGAAAAGTATACCCAGCTATGAATCTTAAAATGCTTGTAGTTAAATTGTGCAATGTGGTGCATATTGATGAAAGCAATGTACTCCGAGCATCTAAGCAAATATAGTCCACCTCAAAACCCGGGGACTTCCGGAAAAGGCGGCTTGGGTGTGCTTTTGAATAAAGAATTTACTAAACAACAACTATAAGTGACAAAGCATCTTAGTCAAACACTGGGATCAACTCTACAACCAAAATTCACAAATACCAACATTTATAAACAGCCAGGAGACCGTCCAAATGGATGCTCAACTCAACGAATGGTTGCTGCTATAAAAGTCTTATCAGTACAGTGTACTGGAATACCTAAGATACAGAGAAATATGACCACCCATCAATAAAATATCAAAGGCATAGAAGTTAGTTGGGATGGAGGGGAGAATGCATAAAAGCAGGGTCTAGGATTGGGTCCTAAACTTTACTTCTCTTTGTGCAGCACTTCAGCCATTGTGGAGGTAGTCCTCAGATGCAGAGCACATTTGGGGAAGTGCATATTACCCACAATCCTCCTGATACATGTGGTCACCCTTTTGTCTGAATCACTGAGCATATTTTCCAGCTTCAATAGGCAGGACATGAAACACTCTTTTTTGAAGAATGTGGTCACCCTTTTGTCTGAATCACTGAATCACTGAGCATGTTTTCCAGCTTCAATAGGCAGAACATGAAACACTCATTTTTGAAGCTGAGGATACTGCAGCATGGTGATCTATGCAGTTAAAGTGGTAACTGGAAATCAGGAGGCTCATGGGTAACTCACACTCCTGGTACACATGGTTCAGTACATAACTTCTGAAGTGGACTAGCTAAGTAGAGGACTGAAATCTGGAGAATTCATGAGATAGGGAAGCTTGAGAACTGCCGGTCTAGTTCAGACTGCTGGTGGCTATGTTTTAGGGTTGCCAAGCCTCAGCTGACAATCCCCAAGAGCACTGGGATTAGAAGACTGCTAGGTGAGACATCACTTCCTGTTTCAGACAGGAAAGTGACATCATGATGCTCTAGGGATTTTCAAATCTCTGTGGTAAAAAAAACCCATAGAGATTTGCAAATTCCTAGAGTGCCATGTCACTTCCTGTGCATTTTCCAAGAATGCATATAATCCACAGTTGGAAACCACTGATCTGGAGCCTGCAGAGGCTAAAGCACAAGAATGATGAGGGTGAGAGTGATGCACCTCTGCACACTTAAAAAAGGCTTAAAAGTCACCCCAACATCTCCCCCCAAAAGGCACATGAAATAGGAACACTGATATACCAAGGAAAGATTCACTGACCCAGTCAATATGATAATTCAAAAAGGTGTGATTTATGGATTTATTTATCTGCCACCTTTTCAGAGACCTGCTCGAGATAGTTTAAAACTAAAAATAATAACACAAGACATTGAAAGCAAGCCAAGGTAATGAAATGTAAGACACTAAAAAAGAAAGACAAAAACATTAAAACCGACCCTTTAAAGAGAGTCAGTTTGGTATAGTGGTTAGGAGCGCAGACTCTAATCTGGGAGAACCGGGTTTGATGCCCAGCTCCTCCACATGCAGCTGCTGGTGTGACCTTGGGTCAGTCACAAGTTCTCTCGGAGCTGTTCTCTGAAGAGCAGTTCTCGAAAGAGCTCTCTCAGCCCCACCTACCTCACAGGGTGTCTGTTGTAGGGAGGGGAAGGGGAAGGAGATTGTATGCCACTCCGAGACTCCTTCAGGTAGTGAAGGCAGGATATAAATCCAATCTCTTCTTCCTCTTCTTTTCCTTCTAAATAAATTAAAGGTGATAAAAGCACCATGAAGCATAGGACAGCCTCAAATGATATTGACAGAACAGGCCATGAAAGAAGGCAACCATGAAATTGCTAAAACAGATACAAACTCAGTAGTCGAAAGCCTGGGTGAAAAAGAGGTATGTTGGCCTGGCACCTGAAGGACAGTGAGGCAAGGCACCAGGTGTAATCCTTCAAGGACAGGGCATTCCAAAGCTGAGACTCTTAGGGCTGTGATTCCCCTGGGGGGTGATTTCCTTGCTCTTGCAAGTGGTGTTGGGGGAAATGGGGGGGGGATTCGGCATTGCAGTCACACTCCGGCATCACTTCCATCATGAACAGGAAGTTATATCAGTGCATAACCACAACGCTCTAGGATTCACCCCAAGTTATGTGGGTAAACCAATATGGCATCACTTCCAGTTTTCAGCAGAAATAACGATAAGACATGGGTAATGGTAAGGCATTGGCACAACTCCAAGACAGTAGGTCCCTGCCCTCAGCCATTTCTCAGTGGAGGCCAGCACTGGGCGATGAACCCTAGACCGAACCACTGAAAACCCCTCTCTAACGTCATCATCCACCTCATATCTGCAGGTTGAGGCACAAAGGTGATGTTATCTCTTAAGCAATCACCCTTCGTTCCAAACGGGGCTCTCCCACTAAAAGCTGCAGTTTAGTGTGGTTCACTCTGGCCAATAAAATGAGCCTTGCCTAAATGTTCCAAGAAGAACTTGCTGAGCCTCGTAGTTTCACTTTCCATTTTCTGTAATGCTGGGATGTGTCTGAAAATACCATTAAAAACTCCCCATTGTTCAAATATTAACTTTAGAAATCGGCTTGGAGTGTTTACCTGCTAGTTTTGGCATAAATGGCCCTTAATGATAAAGTGGTTCCCAGAAAGGGTATTTGATGGCCCAACTGGAACTTTCCTGTAAAGCAAACAAGGCATCCGCTTTGAGGTTACACAAACCCCCCTTTCTGATAGTTCTGATAAGCTCTGATTTCTCCATCCCTATAAATATAGCAGAGAGGATGTGACTTCCCCAAATCCCATGGCTGGTGTGCAAGAAGCTTTCATGGATCCGAAGGTGAGTTGCTAAAATATGCACAATTTGGAATTTATCCTATCAGTTTTTTCACAGGCAACAGAGAGAACCCCCTTTTGAACACCAAAAAAAGTAATGCTGGGAATCAAAGGACCCATGGATAAAAGCCATCCAGAATAGGAACTGCGGTGAGGAGAGGAATTGGGTGAGAATGTGCAGAAGCTGATAGGCTCCAACCATAAGAACATAAGAGATGCCAATGTTGGATCAGGCCAAAGGCCCATCCAGTCCAACACTCTGTGTCACACAGTGGCCAGAAATACCAGGTGCTATTAGAAGCCCTCCCATTGTTCTGCTCCATATGCTTATCTAATTCCCTTTTGAAGCTGTCCATGCTTGTAGCACCCACCACTTCCTGTGGCAGTGAATTCCATGTGTTAATCACTCTTTGGGTGAAGAAGTACTTCCTTTTATCCGTTCTAACCCGACCGCTCAGCAGTTTCATGGAGTGCTCACGAGTTCTTGTATTGTGGGAAAGGGAGAAAAGTACCTCTTTCTTTACCTGCTCTATCCCATGCATAATCTTATAAACCTCGATCATGTCACCCCTCAGTCATCGTTTCTCCAAACTAAAGAGCCCTAAGAGCTTTAATCTTTCCTCATAGGGAAAGTGTTCCAACCCTTTTATCATTCGAGTTGCCCTTTTATGCACTTTTTCCAAAGCTATAATATCCTTTTTAAGGTGTGGTGACCAGAACTGCACACAGTATTCCAAATGAGGTCGTACCATTGATTTATATAGGGCATTATGTTATTGGCTGATCTGTTTTCCATACCCTTCCTAATAATCCCCAGCATAGCATTGGCCTTCTTTATTGCAGTCACACACTGTCTTGACATTTTCAGTGAGTTATCTACTACCACTCCAAGATCTCTCTCTTGATCAGTCTCTGCCAGTTCAGACCCCATCAATGTGTATTTATATTTAGGACCATAACTAATTCCGCCAAACTGATTTTAAGCTGTTTTAATTTGTTTAATTCTGTAATTTATATTATGTAATGTATATACTGAACGCACTCAGTGCCTTATGTAAGCCGCCCTGAGCCCGCTTGCAGGGAGGGCGGGGTATAAATGTCATAAAATAAATAAATAAATAAACTTCTGGGTGACCAAGGGATACATGACCAGCAGCTGTGGCATAGCAGATTATGGGCTGCTCCTTATTTGCCGTTTTCATAACACTTTCCACCTTGCAAATAGGTAACTTGCTGCTTTTCACAAAGATTTAGAAGAAGAAAAGATTGGACTTATACTTCACCCTTCACTACCCAAAAGAGTCTCAGAGTGGCTTACAATCCCCTCCCCCTCCCCCACAGCAGACACCCTGTGAGGTAGGTGGGGCTGAGAGAGCTCTCTCAGGAACTGCCCTTGAGAGGATAGCTCTGAAACAAAGACTGACCCAAGGTCACACCCACAGCTGATCCAAGGTCACACCTAACCACTACACCAAACTTGCTCTCCAATTAAGTTATGCTGGGACAGAGCCATGTGCCTTCAGCTGCAGGGCAAATCAGGGACTGATTACAACCCTCCCAGGCTCAGAATCAAATGATGCATCTCACCACTTGGCTTGCCAGTTTCTCAATTCACCTTTTCTCTGGTACTTTGAACAGCCACATGATCTAGGAAACTAACAGGTCAGGATGTTTCTCTTCATACTGGCTGCTTCTGGAAGGTGAGGGCTTCTTCTCTTCCAGAAGCTGGCCTTGGTACTTGGGTGTGAGTGTGGTGGGCAGGCTGCCCTTGGTGCCTACCACCCCATCTGGCCAAAGCAATGATAGCCCACAAAGGCCAAGAAAAATCACAGTGTCAGCACAGCACCAAGAAGACATGAACCAGGGGTCTACAAGCTGAGGGGCAACTAACAGTTATTTTCTACTACCCAGATGTAAAGCTCATGACACTACCTTATACTGAGTTAATGTAAGGAAAACTAGCTGTTAAACTTGAAGAATTAAAGTTGCTATTTTAAATTTCATCTGAATTAACTAACATATTACTTTTTTATTGTTAAGCCATACAGTTCCAGTTTATTTTTGACACTTCAGACTAACGCAGCTACCCCTGTGGAATGTTATTAATTTGTTCCTCATTGGATGCTTCACCCATTCAAGTTTTAAAATTTTTTGCAGTTAATATATTGTGTTTACAAGAAGCTCAATCAGTTCTGGTAAATAAAATGGCTGTTCAGCTGAACAGATTTGAATCAGTTCTTAATATTACACTGGGGGGGTTGGGGCTTTATTTGTTCCACAAAATGTATGTGATGCATGCTACCATTTGAGTTTGTTATAAACACTATGTATTTGCTGAAATAGAATAAGCTAATATAATGCTTTGTTTAAATTTATTACAGAAAGGGGCTGAAAAGTTTCCCAAGAACAAGGACTTCTGTGGCTTCTTAAAGTCAAAGACTTTTTGGTGACAAGAGTTCATAGAATAGAGTCCCCTTTTTCAGATACACATTTTTCAGGTTGGGGGTTGGGGGTAGAAAGGTTAGTAGCAGAGCATGTACATTCCTTGAAGAAGGTGTTTCCAAGCACTGGCAGCTGACAGGAGTTTTAGGGGACACCAAAACAGAATTTGGTGGAATCCTAGAGCATTGTGCCAATGTGCTGATGTCACTTCTGGGTTCCCACCAGAAATTATGCTGCAGCATTGTTGTGATGTCACCTTCCCCAGCATGGGACCAGGAAGTCTCCCCACTGTACGGGCGGACCTGGCTCCCTATTTGCAACTCTGGTTCCACACAGAAAAAACAGTGGAACATTTCAGAACAATGGCAACCTTGTTTCCAGCATGTGACCACCTCCCTAAGTAATGCCTTCCTGCTTTTTGTTTTAGATGCATCTGTGGCTCTGCACGCTCTTTATGTCCTTGATTATCGGTCAGTCATGGGCCAGCAGCATGAATGCCTCCCTCACGGTCTTGAAGAAATCAGTGCAGAAAGGCCCTCTAACAATACAAGGTACGGAATAGAGAACACCTCCTCGGAAATGATGATCATCTGCCTCACTGGATCATCTTGAGTTTTGTTATCCTCAGAGGTCGATTCGGGGGGGATCGCGGGGGATCGCAGTTCCCCCGGGTGAGGTGCGGGGGGCGGGGCACATGACAAAGCCCCGCCCCCTGCTTCCGGCCACCCCGCTTCCAGCCCTCATTCAGCCAGGAGGAGGCAGGAGAAGAGGGAGGGTAAGTTGCTTCCTCCCCACCTCTCCCCACCCCTGCCTGCCTGGGGCCAGGGAGGGCCTTGGTGGGGCTTCCTCGCACTCCCGCCGGCCTTGCAGGTCCACCACCGGGCCCCTGATGTCAGGGGGTGTGCCATATGCTAATGAGTTATGCTAATGAGTTCCCCTAGCTCTTTTTCTACTAAACGACCCCTGGCTTATCCTTGTACAAAGGGACCTTTCATACAGCCCAGGTCCACTGCTGGCAACTGATCACATGTATAGCAAATCCTGTGTGCTGACCATCACCAGCTAGACCATTTGCCCCCTTTCAGGGTGGATTTGATTTAACTCAAATTAATTTAAATCATGATTTACATCATGTTTTGAATCACTACTCAGTAGGACAAGTTTTAAATCATAGTTTTCTACATAAAGACTCATTCTTGCTGGTATGATCTTAATATTTACAACCAGATGAAGGTTTCATTTTTAGAATAGCAACTTTTCAGATTCGTTCTACAGTTATATCAAAAATTACTGTTTTGGTTATACTATTAGAAACTTACCATAGATAGATAATTATGAAATTAGTGCAGGGAGCTGGCATTCAGGCGCGCAGGGAAATGCAGTTTCCCCGCATGCCTGAATGCCCCTTTAAGTGCAGGGAGCTCACGTTCAGGTGCGCAGGGAAACCTCGGCTCCCTGCATGCCTGAACACCAGCTCCCTGAACTTAAAGGGGCCCCTTTAAGTGCAGGGAGCTTGGGCTTCCCTGCATGCCCAGTCTCCAAGTGGAGATCGGGCGCCTGCCCTGCAGCCATCCCTCTCCCTCCTCTTTCTCTAGAGAGGAGGGAGAGGGGTGGCTGTGGGTGTTGGGGCTTGGGGGTGGGGTAGAACCCTCCCCCAAAAGAGGGGGACCCCTACCAAACCCGGGGGGGTTGCAACCCTACCTGATAATTTCAACTTGCGATTCCAAGGATTGAAGACTAACACAAATGAATGCTTAAAATTAAGGTTGCCAACTGCAGCTTGCAAAGTTCCTGGCAGGGGTTGAAATTTGGAGACAAGAAGGAGCTCAGTGGGGATATGGTGCCATTGATTCTTCCCTCCCATGCTGTCCTTTCCTCCAGGGAAAGCAATCTCTATCATCTGCGAATCAGTTGTAATTCTTGAAGAACTCCAGGCACCACCTGGAGGCTGGCAATCCTAGGCAGAATACATTATGTTGGTCTTTAAGGTGCTACTTAAGGTGCTGCTGTTATAAAAAGGTTATGGTAACAGTGTTCTAAAAAAACGAATTTACACAATAGTTAAATCGGGTCTGCTCCCAACTTTAATGCTAGTGTTCTTTTGGTTCACAAAGCAGAATTTTTGCTCACAACACTCCACAGCTTAGAGGGAACACTGGAAGAGTCCTAAGGAGGTGTTCTCAAATCTAACTCAGGTCTACCCATCGTGGCTTACTCCTAAGAAAGCATTCTTAGGATTACACTGGAAATCGCCCAACTAATTTTAACAGGCTCTCTTCCTAGAAAAAATGATTAACTGAACATATTAACAGGGCTCCCAAGTACTTACCTTGATTCGGCAGGGGATATGTAGTTCTTTGCGGGACCATTCCCGCGGGAAAACACAGGCACTGCACTATTCCATCGCCCAGACATGACATAGGTACGTCGCTGGGTGACGCTCTAGCAATGGGGCTGGAAACTCGATGGTACCATCGAGTTTCCAGCTCCATTACCAGAGCGTCACCCACTACATGCCTACGTCACGTCTGGGTGATGGAATAGTGCAGCGCCTGTGTTGCAAGCAAGAATCTTCCGGCGGGGAAGCATGTGTCCCCCGCCGGTTCGTAGGTAGGTACTTGGCAACCCTACATATTAACAAGAAATCAAAAACGTGCAAGTTGATTAAGAACTAACAAACTCAATATATTTTCCTGTCACCAGCTAGAAATATTTAAAAACACAATGTTCAGTCTTAGAGCCAGAGCCATTCTCAGGTATGTTTTTAACCACATGAAGGTAATTACTTCAACAGTCCAACTTCATTTTACTGCTCACAGCTTCAGTCAGAATTCTTTAAAAACTGACATCTGACCAAAACAGATAAGCAAACCTGTTGATGCCTAACTAAAGACTACAATTCCCAGGGGCAAACTGCTCTTTAAGATATATGGCAGTTCTACTTAGCTACAGTTAAATGCTGACTGGGGCAGCACAAAACCCTTAAGATACTTTTTTTTTCTAATGTGCTCAAAAAACACAGGATTAAAGATTATAAATTGGGAGCCTGCAGGCAGGCAGGAACAATATGAAAATCTCACCCTAACCTCTAAACTCTTCATGTTCCAGAACTCTCTAAGATCTCAGGGGCTAGAGTAATGTATCCTTCCCTTTTTCCCCCTGTAACTGTCTACCACCTGCTCGCAGCATTTCATTCATTCCACATTATATTCAGCAAGCTATGGGGGGGTGCAGTGTCAAAGGCATATTAATCTGCATACATGAGAAGTCCCTTGGGTAGTTAATGGCCCCTCTTTTGTCTGAGGGTGGCCCCATTGGGTAGATTTTGTTATCCACACAGGACCAGCTGGTGTACTAACAGATTTCTCTCAAAACTCAGCTTCTGGCAAAAACTGGTGGCAACTCATAATACTATGCTTTCTGTGTGTAAGTTTGTGTGGGGAGTTTTATGAACCTCTACTCTGGTCTGCCCGCCCCGACCCCCCTAAAATGCTCATACAGACAAAGTAGTTGTAAACTTTTTAAAAAATAAACAGGATTTTTTTTCTGGTTTTCCTGTTTAAATCTTGTCCTTAGAATCAGTCTGATTTCAAGACATTCAGCCCATGCTATTCACACTCCTGAGTCCCCCAGTTTTAAAGGGTACCCCAGTTGGCATTACGGAAGAAGCCATATCACGGGGTCCTCCTGCAAGATTTGGGGGTCGCACTATTACTGAGAAGGCAGTGGCTCTCATACCATGAAGATAGCACAAGATGGGGCTAAGGAGTCCACCAGTTTTCAACACTTTAATCTTCACTCTGTTCTTTTTCTCTTTTGTTTTGCTGTTTCAGTCCACAGCAATGGCAGCCAGGCAGCCAAGATCCTGAAGAGAAGCACTCAATATTCTAGCAGGAGCAACGATGCTCTCAGTGGTACCACTCTGAAATGGGTCAGATTCCGAGGGTCTGCCCCCAGTGGTGCTGTGTTCATCTGGAATCGCTATGCCGAAAGGACAGAATACCCTTGTTATGAATCAGGCTGCACACCCGGTTTCTACAGCCCAAACCGTGGCCCCTACTGCTTTTATCCTTATGGAGACAAGGAGCATAAGAATGCTCAGTTCTGGCTTTTGATAAATGAAAATAACTTTGAATCACTGAAGTGGCAAGACGATTCCTGGGGTGATGTTCCATCGAATTCTATAAACAGCTGCCCAGGATACCGACTATATGTCGGGAAGAATAGATACGGCCTTGGGAAGGTAGACCCCCGTAATAGCGCTTTCTTCATAGGGATAGATGGTAAGGAATACTGGTATAAATATTACGATGTTCTGGTGGTTTATAAAGACTATCTCTCACAGAGCATCTACAATGTCCATTATATGAAGGAAAGGGGGATATACACCAATCAGAACTTGGTCTTAGTCTCCACCAAGCTCATCAACAACAACTGTAATACAGTGAAGAAAATTACCTCACTGTCCGAAACAGTAACTAATGAACGTCGCTGGGATTTTAGCACTTCCATCTCAATAGGTGTGAGCACTAGCATGTCTGCAGGGATCTTTTCAATAGTGAACTTGGGATGGAGCATCACTCGGGAGAAAACATTCAGTTGGAGTGAGGGTTCTACAATGACTGAGTCAGTCACATTTTCAGAAACGGTAGAAGTTGATGTTCCCCCTAACCACACATGTGATGTGTCAATGGAGGGCCAAAGAATGTACGGAAACATTCCCTTCACTGCAACAGTGACTCGTGAATATCGCAATGGGGACAGACGAAGTGCCACTGTCCAGGGAGTCAGCACAAACACTATTGTGGCACACGTGGATATCCACGTAAAGCGGTGCCAACCCATCCCAAATGCAGCTTCATGTAAGTAATAAGGTCAGGGGCATCCACCAGCTCCCTAGCCACATATGCCTGAGCAGAAATCAAGAAGAGAAAATGTGCCGTTGTGGCACTTTAGAGACTAATGGGTTGGATCCAGCTTGCTTTTTCAAGCAATCTCTCCCAATTTCCCTGCTTATGGAAACCCCTACCCCACGTGGCTTTTGTCCATTCTGGTGCCATGATCCCCTGTGTAGCCTTTTTGAATATCAAAGGGGATCAATCACCTTCTCCTTTTTTTATCAATGGAAAAGCTGGCTAGATCTAACCCAATGGATTCATCTGTAGCTTGAGGTTTCATAGGCATCTTGCTGCTACATTAGGCACATGAATTGGAAAGGTGGATCTTCCTATTTCTACACAGAACTTTTTCTGTGTCATCACAACCAAAGAGGTCTGCTGTCTTATGCTATGCATGTTTACTTAATGTCTCACACAAAATGAACAGTCTTCCAAGTAGCCATGTTTGAGACTGGTCCAGTACCTTTCATTCATTGTGTTCTTTGGTGGCTTTCTGCGAACAGTTTGGTCTTCTTCACCAGTTTCAGCTGTCCAAATTGTATGACTCAGCAGAAAACCAGCTAACAATCCTTTAATTATTTGAATCTTGATCTCACTCTTTCTTAAACATTCATCTATGCATAGATCCAGATGCTGTTAAGTTGTTGATGTATTTCATAAATCATCATGGAATCAATGTGAAATCAGCTTGCTGTTGCTTGTTAGCCATAAATTAGAAAACAATAAAGAAAATTTAATTTTCTTACACCTGTGGTTATCTGGGATTTTTCTCTATCAGAATGGTGTTGGGTGCCTAAGCATATGCCCCTGTATGCTTTCTCGTCTTTAAGCAATGTTTAAAGAAGTGTGTTTTTTTAAATGCTGTAACTATTTCAAATAGAACATGCATCCAAAAGAGAAATGGAGCATCTACACACTCCAAGAAAGGAAATATATCCAGCGGAAGTCCTCAGATTTTTTCATGTTATACATTTATAGTCAGCCAAACCTTGTCTTCAAATGCATTTTGATCATTCCAAATGGGGAAAAAATCAATAGGAGTTGGGGGCAGAGGTTCTGGAACAGTAAGTCACTGGGCCCTTTCCCTGTAAGTTAAATGGCCAGTCCACCCATCCATCCCAAGGAGACACTTCATTGCCTTACACCCTTGGCTTGCCTGAAGTTGCAGATGTTCTCATGCCTCTGGGCTATGGTTGCCAGCCTCCGGGTGGGACCTTGAAATCCCCCAGAATTACAACTAATATTCAGACTACAGAGACCACCTCAAGAAAATTGCTTCTTTGGAACGTAGACTCAATGGCATTATACCCCACCGAGGTCATATTTGATGTCAATCTTTCAAACCCTATAGAGGAAAAGGGAGCTTTTCTGTCCTTGCCATTTGTGTAAGGCTGGATGCTCTTCGTGTTGTTCGTGTGTCTTCATAAAATACCAGAAGATCAATGAGAGATCAAAATGGACCTTACCCACACAGGAAAATCCAGTAGCCAATGATCAGTATAGTACAACAACTCATATTATAGCGGAATATGAAACCATGCGTGGATACAGCCTCCCTACCAAAAGAGGATGCTTAAAACAATATGCATTTCACCCGGACCCTGTGGGGAATGTCCATTTAAAATGCTGCAGGGGGCTGATTCTGCTCAAGATCATGGCAGCGGAGAGGGGCTTCAGCCTTCCCCCTCCCCAACACTTTGCCAAGCCAAAATGGCCCCACCTTTTTTGGATCTGTTTGTTAAAAAAAAATCAGAGGTCATTTTGGGGGGGAACGCGGGGGATCGCAGTTCCCCCGGGTGAGGTGTGGGGAGGTGGGGCACACAATGAAGCCCCGCCCCCTGCTTCCAGCCTTCATTCAGCCAGGAGGAGGCAGGAGAAGAGGGAGGGTAAGTTGCTTCCTCCCTGCCCCTGCCTGCCTGGTGCCAGGGAGGGCCTTGGCGGGGCTTCCTCGCACTCCCGCCGGGCCCCTGATGTCAGGGGGTGTGGCATATGCTAATGAGTTCCCCTAGCTCTTTTTCTACGAAATGACCCCTGAAAAGAATTGTGTAGTTTGGCCCTCAGGTACACAGCTGAGATGGAAAGGGAGTGAGAGAGAACCTTCACACACACACACACACACACTTATCCATCCACCTTTCCTTAAGAAAAGAAATTGCACAAAGTTTTGGACTTTTGCTCCTGCTGGATTAAACATATTCCATGGAAATACATCTCTTGAGGCATACATTTCTTAATCCCCGTCCCCCTAAAATGTTCAAGTATAAGCAATTCCATGGAAAGAAACTATGGCTGGGGGCGGATGGGGGAAGTTAACACTGTCATCCTAAGCAGAGTTATGCATTTTAAAGTGCATTAAAGTCAATGCCCTTTAACAGGTTTAATTCTATTTAGGGTGGCCCTTTTTAAAAGCCTTGAAAAATAAGCTCGCTCTTCTCCCAACGGATGAGCGTGAGCATCTTTGTTTATTATGTATATGCTTACTTCATCCATACCCCACCTTCCTCCACAAGGGGGAACCAAAGTTGTTCATATCATTTGCCTCTGCTCTGTTTGATCCATTCTGTGAGATAGGCTAGGTTGAGAATATGTGACTGGCCCAAGTTCACCCAGAAAGCTTCAAGGACAGGGTGCTGAACTTGGTTCTCACAGGTCCTAGTCTGAAACTCTGGCCACTACATTATGCTAGTTCTCACAAATGGAGGAGTTTTTTATTTTGTGTTGTTGTTGTTCAGTCGCACAGTCAAGTCTGACTCTTCGTGACCCCATGGACCAGATCATGCCAGGCCCTCCTGTCTTCTGCTTTTTTTAATTTTTAATTTAATTTAATTTAATTTTTGTATTTTAAGTGGTATATTTAATCAAAGTTTAATACCATTTGGAATCCCAGATTCTTGGATCAAAACAAACCTCGCCTGGCTCACTGGATACCCACAGGCCAATCTCGCAGCCTAACCTATTTCACAGGATTGTCGTGGCAGTAAGAGGATTGAGAACACTGTCTGCCACCTGACCTCCTCAGTGGAAAGGTGATTTAAAAAAAAATGTGATAGATTTCATCTCTGTATCCCAAAATAGCCATCTTGAGTCCATCACTTGAGAAAGGCAGGTTAAAAATAGGTAAAAAATAATAAATCACAGTTCCATGAAAGGGATCTGCCACTTTCATGGGACTTGCAATGTGCACAGCTCACAAAGTCTGCCCAGCCAGTTTGGTGTAGTGGTTTAGAGCGTGGACTCTAATCTGGGAGACCTGGGTTTGATTCCCCACTCTTCCACATGCAGCTGCTGGGCTACCTTGGGTCCGTCACAGTCCTCTCAGAGCTATTCTCTCAAGAGTAGCTCTCAAAAGAGCTCTCTCAGCCCTACCTACCTCACAAGGTGCCTGCTGTGGGGAGAAGAAGGGAAGGAGACTGTAAACTGCTCTGAGACTGCGAGTGAAGGGCAGGGTATAAATCCAATCTCCTCCTCCTCCTTCTTCTTCTGCAACTAGCCAATAACCACCTTACATATACAAACCCAGAAATATTAGCCTGTCACACACAAATTCACGCACATTACAAGCATAACTTTTTAATGTGCACAGATAGCCAGAGTCCTCTACACAGTCTGATCACATTCCACGCTTTGGTCCCAGTGAAATCTGCAGGACTTAAGTACCTCAGCTCTAGACCAGGTTGTGCCCAATTATGCTACCAAAATGCCACTGAACATGTAATAGAATAGATTCTTTCCACATCCTTCTTTAACCAGAATCGAATGTGCCGTTCAGTAGTGCTTCAACACCCATGCCACCATGACAAGCACACCTAGAAGTTCCACATGCGTCTCTCCTCCTGCCGCCCTCCTCATGTGCCAGGCTCACCCCAGCGCTACAGCATGACAGTCACACGTCAGAATTGCACCAGTACTACACTGCACCTTAAAAGTATTCTCATGCTTCTCTCCCACTCACCCTTCACAGTTAGGAAAGATTCCAGCAGCCATAACACACATCCCACCGTGAATCCATGACAAGCAATGCACACATGACTCACTGTGCATATTGGGGGGGGGGGATCTTCCTCATATATCACCTTGAGCCAAGGCAGGGTATAGATATTTTAATACAGAACTAATTCTAAAAGATATTCCAAATTGACCCTTCATTTGAGCCAGGGCTTAATCCCTGCGCTCAGGGCACGGGCTCACGCTTTTAAGCTCAACCATTCTGTGCGTGTGAAGAGTGCCATTTCCACCCACATATCCGAAATCAAGAGGCAGGGTTTCCAGGTTAGACGGCACAGTACCTAAGCATGCTTGGCACCTCTTGCCATCTCTGAAGCAAATGTACTTCGCCAGCCTCCTGAGAGCAAACCCTGTCAGCTTCCCCAGAACTGACCTTCCACAGCCTGCAGTTCAGCGTCTTAACCACTTGAGCCACCGCAGCTCCTTGAGCCAAGGCAGGGTATAACTATTTTAATACAGAACTAATTTTAAAAGATATTCCAAATTGACCCTTCATTTGAACCAGGGCTTAATCCCTGCATTCAGGGCACAGGCTCACGCTTTTAAGCTCAAACATTCTATGCATGTGAATAGTGCCATTTCCACCCACATATCCGATATCAAGAGGCAGGGTTTCCAGGTTAGACTGCACAGTACCTCAGCATGCTTGGCACCTCTTGCCATCTCTGAAGCAAATGTACTTCGCCAGCCTCCTGAGAGCAAACCCCATCAGCTTCCCCAGAACTCATCACACGCTTTCCCACACCACCATAGCTTCCCAAAGCTCAGAAAATTCCATCCCAGCTCTTCCAGAGGAACAGCTTCTGGCTCCTGCCCCACTATCAAATTTCAACCCCTTCTTCTGAGATTTGGGGCCAATCACAGGTTGGCCAGTCATCCCTCTTCTTGTACTGCTGTCAACCTTTCTGTGGTGATGTTTTGGGCCACAAAAGAGGACAGGAGACCGACATTCCACACATCTCTTGAGACAATTTGTGGCTCCCTGCTGCGGCTGATCTCCTTGGCCCTGCTTTCGACCGTTTCCAGGTCAGAGTCCCAAGTAAATGAGATGGTTAACCATCCTAGGTCCAACGAGAGGAGAAGGGAGGCTTGCGTATCCCAGCTGAGCCTTCTGCCAATTCACCTCAGCACTGTCGTGAGTGCATATCTCAAATACCCAGGATCCACCCAGCCACCCCTCCCCGCCTGACTGGGCAGGGCTCCGGCTGCCTGCAGCCGGTGGAGCCGTCACTTCCCTCCATCAGTGCAAACGCAGGCACCCGCGGACCCAGCATGTCAGAGAGCCCTAGCCAAAGGGAGGCCCCTGTGGAGGGACAAGAAGCCCCCACAGAAGAACCCCCCTGCGCCGAGCTAAAAGCTGCTGCAGAGAAATGGTAAGTCAGGCTGGGGGTGGGGGGTAAGGGTGAAAGGGCATTGAATGCACTAGTGGGTATGCACCAGGCAAATATGTTTTTAAAGCTGACCCCTCCCCATGAACACTGAAAACCCTAGAGAGGTGGTACCGGTAGTAGTGAGAATCGGGAACAGAGAACTCAAAGAGGGGAAAGGAACGTGCTGCGGCACATAGTGCATTCGTGCGATGAACAAGGTCATTTTAGGGCACGGGAGCCGACGGTAGGGAAGCGATCCCCCCTGCTGAGTCTGCCCCTCACCCCCTGCCACCTTTCAAAAGCACACTGTGAGGTGACTCCAGGTCAGACGTGTCAAGTTGAACATTAAGACATGGACAATCCCCATGCGGCACGTAGAAGATGGCAGAGGATGCCTGGAGGGGGGGAAATGCTCGTGTTGAGGAGGACGTGAAGGAATCTAAGCAATTCTGGAATCTCGGTGTGCAGCACCTTGGTGCTTTGGAAAGACATAGGCCTGGCAACCCAGAATTACAACTTGACTTGAGGTGGGAATCCAACCTGAGAGGACTTTTTCAGTACTCCTGTAGCTCATATGCAAGTGTATGTTGCATAACATATTGAGAGACAGCATGGTGTCATGGTTAAGAATGGCAGACTCTGATCTGGAGAACCAGGTTTGATTCCCCACTCCTTAACATGCAGCCTGCTGTGTGGCCTTGGGCCAGTCACAGTTCTCTCAGAGCTCTCTCAGCCCCACCTACCTCACATGGTACCTGTTGTGGGGAGAGGAAGGGAAGGCGACTATAAGCTGCTTTGAGATACATGAGGCCTGCTGGGTGGCCTTGGGCCAGTCTCAGCCCCATGTGCCTCACAAGGTGACTGTTGTGGGAAGAGGAAGGGAAGAAGACTGCAAGCCACTGAGACTCCTTAAGGTAGAGAAAAGAGAGGTGTAAAAACCAACTCTTCTTCTACATGTTCTGAAGTCCCTGAGACAGAAAACAGAAAATAGTACCTCCACCTCAAAATACGATTAAATTCATTGTGGCAACCAAAGGGTGCTGGTTGAGACCACTGTGTTACTCTTTCGACCCTATGCAACCCTCCTTCATGTCTGTGTGGTGAAACTAATTTTGCAGGCACCCCATTCTAGCACTAGAGACGTAGAATAGTTACAAAGCTGGCCCAAAACCTAAGCTGCTAGACCTTAAAAAGAAGCCCGCCTCTTCAGACATGTGACACAAACCACCCAATGAAAGCAAGATTCTGTTTTACCCCTCTTGACATTACAATATTTTAAAGATGCGTCTAAGGCTTTTGGTAACTAAACTCTCTCGTTTTGCCTCTTAAAACACTCTTCTTCTAATTAAGAACCCCAGACCTTTTGTGGTCACCTGCTCCAAAATTACCCGGGACATGGGGAAGCCTTGGACATCTTGTTTGTTAGATTAACCCATGTCCAAGCAGGAGTCTCCCTGCTTTCTCTTTGCACCTTGATAAGCAATTTAGTGGGCATACGAAGACCACCATAGCACCAAATTCCTAAGAGGGAAAATCCTGCTGTACTTGTATTAGCTGCCATTGAGTACAGGAAAGAAAAACAGTCAAGAGTCATTGTAGTGTGCTGGTTAGAGTGTCCGACTAGAATCTGAGAGGCTCAGTTTCAAATCCCCACCCTGCCGTGGAAGCCTGCAGCCTGTGACTTTCTCTCAGCCTAACCGCCTCACAGGGTTGCTGTGGGGATAAAACAGAGAAGGGAAGACTGATGTACACTGCCCTTAATTCCTTGGAGGAAGGACTGGATTTTAAAAAGTGAAATAATTTGTTGAGCAAAAAAGAGAGTTATGTGACAAGTGAAAATAAACTCTCTTTGTGTCTGACGAAGGGAACTCTGGCTCTCGGAAGCTTATACCGTGAAGCTCTTGTTGATCATGGAGCCGCTCTGAGCGCAAATCAAACAGGGAAAATAAAATGAGCAATAAACAAAGTTCTTCCTCCACAGAGCTGAAACTTACCTGTGTATGGTGGTAAATTAAAAGGGAGGCAGAAAAATCCTAAAGCTATCGGATTTCTGTTACAGACTATATTTAGGGCTCTTTGGAAGCAGTGCGTCTGCTTGGAAGAAAGTCTCATGTTACTCAGTGGGGCTTACTCCCAGGAAAGTGCTTGTCATGTTGCAGCCTCTTACTCTCTTCCAACCATCCTTGGGGGTAGGGGTTTCCATTCAAATATCTCCCGTTCTGGAAAGTTTCCCATTCTGAAGTCAAGTCTTTTTCTTTCTCTCTGTTCTCCTTCAAAGGACAGTTCCCCTTTCAAGAGCCATTTGGCTCCCATCCTACCTGCCAGAAAATTACTAGCCTCTCTCCAGGAGATCTGAATGAGTCTTTCCCTCACAAGCCCTAAGGCCATAAGAAAACACTCTTCTGTCCTGTCTTGTCACAAGAAAAGCCGTCCTCCACTTCCTGGCAGACTGAAGCCTAGATAGAAAAACATGATCTGAAACTGCTTGTGAAGGAGGTTTTAGGTTAGGGCTGTGAGCTCAGGAAATACCTGGAGATTTCTGGGGTGGAGCCTGGGGATGGTGGGCAGTGTTCCCTCTAAGCTGAGTTAGTGTGAGCTAGCTCACAGTTTTTTAGCCTTCAGCTCGCACGTTTTTGTCTTAGCTCAGGAAGGATGGCTCCAGAGCCAACTAATTTATGCAGTAGCCAAACCGCTCGCTCACAGCTTTAATGCCAGTAGCTCACAAAGTAGAATTTTTGCTCACAAGACTCCACAGCTTAGAGGGAACATTGATGGTGGGGTTTGGGGAGGGGAGGGATCAATACAGGCTTGCAATACGTAACCACCACCCCCATTCTCCTTTCCTCCATATTATCCTCACAACACCCCTGTCAGATAAGTTAGGCCGCTGCAGTAATATGACTGGCCCAAGGTCACCTAGCAAACTTCCATGGCAGAGCAGAGAACTGAACCTGGGTCTTCCAGATCCTAGCTCAACACACCACACTGGCTCTCCATAGGTCATGAGATGAAAATAACTAGGCTCCAATCAGTCTTTCTGTTGATAGAAAAGGGAGGATTCTCTTTTGACCACCCAAAAAGGCACCACTGAAGGGCATGGACAAAAGCCATATGGAGCTGTAACAACAATATTCTGCAAGCATGTACAAAATGCTGCCTGGATCCTACCCATTGTCTATTTTATTTCTGACATCATACAAACAGATCATGGTAATGGACTGACATTACCAGGCCAGAGTCCCCTGGACCCACTGATTCCATTAAAGCATACCCGGTTCCCCCATTCCTATGTTTGGGTCTCCAGTGTCCACTACCTCTTTGTGTAAATACTATTGAGCCTTCTCATCCCCACTTAATTCGAACAGCTAAAGCCTCTTTAGGAGGATTAGAGCGGGACTGAGGAATAAAGCCACAGGCTGGGCCGAGGCCCAGGCGGGCTCCTCATTTGATGGGAGTGATCTCAGCCTCCCCCATCCAGATTATCACTCGGTCCCCATCCCCATGTGGATGGGGATGCAATAGTTTGAAAAGCAATTCACGGCCTTAAAAGATGGGTGCAGGGGCTGCAACCAAGTCAAAGTCTTCAAGCCCAGTCTGCTGTTGATGTTGATCTCAGCTGAACATGATTGTGTTTGTATTCTTAACTCTTAGAAGGAAAGTCCTTGTCCGTTCTCCCTGTGTGTTGGCTCTGGATAATCCAGCTTGGGAAATTCCTTAATACTGGGGGTTTGTGCTTGGGGAGGGCAGCAGGGAGGTGATGCCATAGGGTCGCTCCCTCCACAGCTGCCAGCTTATTCAGGAAATTGTATCTTTGATAATACAATCTGTGCATATATTGTTATTCAGGGGTCATTTCATAGAAAAATAGGTGCAGGAGCTCATTAGCATAACTCATTAGCATAACTTATTTGCATATGCCACACCCCCTGATGTCACCGGAAGTGTGTCAGAAGGCAACACCCACCGCTCAGGCACCACTGGACTGTTTTGGATTGCTAGCTATTGGGGGGGGGGACTGCAGATCTGTCCTCGCAGAGGAGGGAGAGCTTGTACCTGAATAAAACTTGGTCTTAAAGGTGCCACTGGACTGTTTGGGACTGGGGGGGAGCTCTGCAACTTACCTGGCTGCTTCTTGCTCTGACTGAGGGCTGCTGGGAGCAGGGGGTGGGGCTTGTTGCATGTGCCCACCCCCTGGGCTCTTTACTGCCGGAGCTCTGCTCCTGTGCGCTCCTGCAGGAAATGACTCCTGCTGTTATTGCTTTAAGATTATTAGCTAGTTTGGGTGGTTTGGTTTTGGGGAAATGGCCAAGAAGGTGTTTAAACAAACAGTTACATTTGCCTCTCATTTGTTTACTATTGCAATCCCAAGAGTTTACAGTGGTCTCATCCAATGTCCACGACTTGAATGCAGCCAGCTTTTTTGCTCAGCCTTTTCCAATCCCACTCTTTGCTCCAGCCCCCCATCGCAAATGGCTTTTGTCCATGCAGGTCCTACGATTCCCCAGCAAAGCCTCTTTGGATGGTCATAGGGACCCCTCCTCTCTTTTTCAGCAGCAGCTGGTTGGATCCAACCCTATCCCATCTAAATATTACTGCATTAAAGAATGGACGTGCTGTCCATTTCTCCTACCATACACAGTTCTGACTCACAGACAGCAGCCTCTTTGTTGATAATATGCCAAGTCATTTTGGGTCTCCAGAATGCTTATGTACTTTTCCTATATGAACCTCCCCAAATCCCAATTGGAAAATACCTAGAGATTTATGGGTGGAACCTGGGGAGGGAGGGGTTTAGAGAGGGGAGGGACCTCAGCAGGTTGTTGTGCCACAGAGTCCACCTTCCAAAGCAGCCATTTTCTCCAGGGGAACTGAGCTCTGTCATCTGGAGAGGAGTTGTAATCCTGGGAGATCTCCAGCTCGCACCTGGAGGTTGGCAGCCCTAGGGATAGGATCTGCGGAGGCTCAGAGAAGACCTTCTCCCACTCGAGGCGTGCCCTCCCCAA